GAACCAGAAGGACAGGTACTGTGTGAGTACAGCCACAACCACAAAATGCAATGTATCTTTTGTGAGGTCATCTTGATTTTTTCTCCCTGATAGAGTCTTTAATTGAAGGAAGGTGTCATAAATACCAACTCTTTTTAAAATGCCATCCACATCAACAATCAGTTCACTCAACCCCTGGGATCTAGATATGGACATCGATGCTATCCAAAACTTTCACTCCAAGCTGGTCACTCTCCACTAAACAGGCTCAAAAAATCAGACCAGGAGAAGATAATCACTATGGATCTGTCAACATCCATCTTTTTTTAACCTTCTTGATGTTGAGTAGCATTGACTGTTCCACCCATTTCTCCAACCCAAATATAGCCTCTTCACTGTATTTATGTATTTAGTCTGCACCCCTGTCTCCCAAATTTTCCTAGGACAGCGAAGAACACTTTAAAATCCCAACTTGGAATTTTTAAAGGGAAAATATAAACATAGAAATGTAAGTGTCCATATTAGGCCATCATCTAAATGTCTTTTGCATGACGTTGTCATGACACACATATTGTCTCTCACACACATACAAATGCGCATGCTTACAAACCAGATAATCATGGATACTCCTGTTCATTCAGAGATTGGCAAGGATGGGACGGATACCCAACCCACTGGAGAAAAAAAAGTCTGACACAGAGACAGCAGAAACAAAATTAGATTAGTTGCAATTGAATGGAGAATTAATTAAGTAGCTTTTTATTCTTCGTAGCCTGGCTCACACATGGTGCTCAGTTTAGCCATTCGTCCCAGCAAGTGACTAGCACCCAACCACCCTTGTCTGGGCTAAGATGCTAAAAAAAGTCAGGTCTAATTAGATGGTTGGATGGGAGACCACTATGGAATCCCAGAGCTATAGACTAGGCTGGGAAGTTGAAAAGCCTCTTGCTAGAAGAAAGCATTGGCAAACCACTTCCATACTGCTGCCAAGAACATTTAGAAAACTACATGGGAAAGTCTATGAAGTCAGCAGGAGCAGCACCGGATGGAAATGTCCCCTTTCTCTTGTTATTAAGCCACAATGCCTGTATTCCTACAATGCGGTACAGCACAAACCATAGTTTGCAAGATCAATGGCTCTTCATCGACCACACTAAGCTAAAAGTAAACAAACCACAGCATGGCTTACTGTGAATACCTAAGCCTAGGAGCTAAATAAGAGAATAGAACCACATATAGTTAAGGATCAAAGGCTAATCAGGGTCAGGGGAAGAAAAGAGGAAAGAGGATCAACAAGACAAACACACACAGAGATCAGTTCTGTAGGACTGCAATTCTAATGGAAGGTAGCCGGGCACAGAATGTCCTTTGATCTTTGCTGATGAATGAGAATTGCCCATCAACGCAATCCTTGCAGAACAGAGAGGAATACGAGAGAGAGAGACAGACAGACATGGGCGGGAGGCGGGGAGAGAGTTAAAAATGCCCTTCCTTTGGGAATACAATGCAGGCAACAAACTCTGTCCCACGTTCTTCCACTAAAGTGCAGGTTCTCAAAGCTTAAGAACTCCCAGGCACAGAAGCGATCAAGCAAGAAGTGGAACTTCCCTGGGTAGAAAGGTCATCGGAGGTCTTGTAGTACGAGGAGCAAACCAACTATGCTCTTTTGATCATTTCTGGATGGAATCCTTTCCTTTTTAAGCCAGTTTCTCTCAGCCCTAAAGTCAAAAATGGATGTTCAAATGGATGCTATTGCACTGTTGCAAAGACACTGTAATGGTATGTGGGAATGACCTTGGGAGACAGGAGGAAGAGGCAGCTGAGCCTCTTGCAAACTTGCAAGACTCGTGTCAGCCTTGTGAGGTCATCCAGACAGGGAGCACACACCCAGGAGTACTAGCTCTGTCTTTATTGTAATGCTACGTTAACAGAATTTTGTAAGTCTGAAATCACATCTCTCCCCCCTCGCCTTTACAGTCCAAGAAACTAGGGAGGGTCCCTTCTGAGACATTTGCCATGCCCCCATTCCTTCTGTGGGCTCAGCTGCCATTTGTCTGACCATTGCCTAGTCTGTGACTCTTCCTCCTATCTCCCAAGATCATTCCCACATACCATTACAGACACCTCTCTTACACAAACACTCACCTATACAGGCACACACCTCAAATACCTTTGCTTTGCTCTTCAGTTTCCTAACCCTGGCAAAGGCACCATGGTTGCCTTCATTTCCACCAAACCCTGAGGGACAGTGCAAAGAAGTGGTATTCAGTTGGGATTCTGCCTGGGTTGTCCACAGAAGGGGGTGGTCAAAAGAGTCAAGACGGCAGTCACAACCATGCAATTGAAGCCCTCCCCCTTTTTTATGTGGGTCACTGCAGCCATCTTGACTTTTTTTTAACACCACCACCACCTTGATGCCCCTGGATCCCATCCTGGACTACTGCTGGTCTTGGAAGAGCTAAATTCCCCCAGCGCCCCACCTTCCACACAAAAGGAAAAGAGAATAAATGACTAGCATACCTCCCAGAAATCTATGGCTGTAGGCATAAAAATTCTGAGCAGTGGGTACACTCCAAACCCGCCAAGCCACCTTTCTCCTTTAAAGACCCATGAAGTACCAGATGCCTGAAGACAACAAGCTAGAAATGGCACAGAACCAGAGAAAGAACGACGATTATGTTCTCAAACAAGGTCAACATATTGAGATTGCAGAAATTTGGAACAGATTCTGAATCAAAGTCCTTGAGCAACGGGAGGGGAGGGGCAACGATGGGGGGGGGCCTTAAACTCACTCACTCACTCATGTCATGAAGATAAAAGTTACATGGTGAGAGGCCGGGGTAAGAAAAAGTTATGCACATTGCTGTGATGGCTTTGGAGAATGAGTGGAATGAAAATGAAATAAAGTCAGTCAGAAGGACATCCATGTTAGAAAGTCATGTTTAAAAAATCATTGAATAATAATAATAATAATAATAATAATAATAATATTGAGTATTTATACAACAGAAAGTTCAAGTTACTTCACTTCCATTTCTCTGGAATAACCACTGTCTAGAATAATATTGTTTCCATGTTACAGAAAGATGGTCTAGAGTTGTGTGACAGAATGACCTATCTAAGGTGAATTAGGTTATGCAAACTACAGATTTTTTTGTTCGCTGACCAGTCTCATTGGCAAATTCCACACCAGGAATTCATAGCATTTTCTAGCATCCTCCAGTCATCATGTGGCAATCTATCATTAATGAAAACAGGCTTCATACTACCACAGCATTGACAGGATGACACTATAAAAGGTAAAATAAGCACACAAGGGAAGTTTGATTCCTGAGCACATTATGGACCTTGGCAGGAATAAAGAAGCAGCTTACCCTAAGATTGCCTGGTGGTTCCTCCATCCACCCATTCACAAGATCCATCCCACTTAACTTCCTGACCTCAGTCAAGGTCTAACTGGGGCTGTCTGTAGCTGGGCCCCAAAGGAGACAACTCCCTTGAGGTTAACTCCTAATAACTCCACGGACACGTTTTGTTCGCCACAATCTCTCACTTTAGAGACTTTAGACCTCCTGTCCAGGTCCCAGGCAGGAATGAACTTGCTTAGCCTCTGCCTAGACAAGATCACCCAGGTAGTGCTTGACACCAATACATCTTTAGCGTGGATGTGGCTTGAATCTAGTTCCAACCCTGGTCTTCCAGCCCCTTGGTTAGCCAACTTCCCTCCTTCGGGGCTGTGTGGAAGGACGCAGAGAAGGTTTCCTCTCCTCTCCTTGGCGCTAGCGCGCCAGGCAACTTTTAAGCCCTGCTGAAGCCCTCGGCTTTGGAGTGCGTTCCTGGAAAGCGCTTCACACCCATGAGAAGAGCTTCTGTTCCCCAGCTGGAGGTGGAGGGGCGGCGGCGATAAATGGGCGCCTCGCCGGCCAAGCTGGGGAGGGAAGGCCAGGTGCCAAACACGGCCGTGGCCAAGCTGCGCCTTCTCGCCCCGTCCGGTTCGGCTTGCGGGGAGCCGGATGGCCCAGGAGCCGCTGGAGAAGATGCTCCTTGCTTCAGCCGGGCTGGAGGGTGCGGAACGAGCCCCGGCACCTCCAGTGAGTAACTTCCCCCGAAAGCCCCCAGGCTGCCTTTGCAGCAGGACGGGCTCCTTCCCCTTCCCCCGAGAGAGCTAGGAGGGATTCTGAACAGGACCAGCTTGCTTCGGATCCACTTCGGAAGGGGGGGTCGCGGGGCTCCTCTGCCGACCGTCCAGGGCCCCTGGCATCTTCCTAGCCCTGCCTTCGATGATGCCAGAAGGCGCAATGGCTGGGAGGGGTAGAGTCCCTCGAAGTTGCATCGACAGAACCAGGTGAGTTCAAAAGTTAGCCGTCTCCATTTCCACAAGTTGGGGGTGGCTGTTTCAGAGTCAGTGGGTTTGCTTAATTCCCACCCACAGTGCGTTCTGCAAAGCAGGATAATGCTTTCATTCAGGAAGCAGGTCACAGGGATTGTGTGAATGCCACAGAGGGCTTCCCTTCTCCCTCGGCCCACTCCTTTTCTTAAAAAGTCACACCTTCTAGAAGTGAGTGAAACCACGAAAAAAAGTGCTCCCATTTGCCCATTTGTTCTGGATTTGCACTCTACTGACCTGCAGGAGACAAATCTTGTTGATGTCACCACTAATACAAGAGATTTTCCTGATCCCTGATGGGACTGCTGCTCTTTCCTTTAAACAACTTGGCCTGATCACCCTGCCTCAAGGTACAAGGTCCAAATAAAAAGTGTTTTGTGTCTCCTCCAAGCTTTCATTTCCAAAACAGTTCGATTTTTCCTCCAGTATGGTTTCCCTGCAGGTAGATCTTCTCAACTCAAACTTTCCAACAGAAGGCAGAGCAAAGCTCATTCTCAAGGCAAAACCATGTGGTGTAGTGGTGAAGGCACTGGGCTAGGAGCAAGAAGATCCAGGTTCTAGTCCTCCCTCAGCCAGAAAAGCTCCCTGGGTTGACTTTGGGTTGGTTACTCACTTTCTACCCTACCTTATATGCTTCTAGTTGTAGGGAAGGATTTGAAGAGAGAGTTTGCATGCTGCTTTGAGCTCCAGGAGGAAAAGTGCTATCTAAATCTAATGAAAGAAGTGTATTTTGCTGGAGGAAAATCTTTAGTTAACTGCAAGGCAATGTGATCTTCAACTAGGCACTTCTTAAATTGGCATGTTACAAACGAATAAACATGGGGGATGGGAATCCACAATTCGTAGTCAGTCAAACAACTTGCCCTAAATGTTTCCCACTTCTGAGAATGGAGAGTATTTGGAGCAGAGGGAAGAAAAGCTGGCGGGGAAGCCGTAAGCCTGTGCAAAAGAGATGCAGCTTACTTCCCCATCCCGCCCATGTCCCCATTCCAGAAACTGCAATTTTTTGGCACCATCAAATTCACTTCTGCATAAAAGGTTGCCAGGTCCTCAGAGTGGGCTATGGTTGCTTAGGCAAACTTTGGCAACAGACAAAATCTGTTGTAACTATATGGATTTAGCCGTCAATTTGGACCTTTGGTTACGTGGACATACTTTTTGTAGATGGAATGTGTATCCTTACATCTACTTTTCCCTTTTGTTGGGCTGATTATTCTTTCTGGTTCACCAGCAGAGGAAGAGGTAGAGTAGGGGAATGTGGCCACAGTCCAACACTGTCCTGGGCAGAAAAATCCTGAGTTCGCAAAAAAAAAAAAGAAAAAAAAGCATTATAAAATCTGGCTAGCATTAAGTTCATGATAGCATCTATAATTAAACAACCGGGTGTTTTTTTTCCCCCAACCTTTCACAAGAAATAAAAGTTTTAAGAACACAAAAGGATACCGAAAACTTTAAACTAAGCAAAAAAAAAAAAAAAGCTTGCATTATAAATAAGAAACTGCAAAAGGGTGAGGTTTTGTTCCTCCTGCAGCTCCTGATCATTCAAGGAAGGAGCAGAAGAAAAGAAAGATCTTGGGATGTCATTCATTCATTCATTCATTCATTCATTCATTCATTTATATCAATAGGTTGCCTAGCTCAGGTGCCTCCCTTAGCTGGTTTTGGAAAAGCTAAGCAGAGTAGGGCTGAGTAAAGTTGGGTGCCACACCAGGAAGTCAAACAAACCATCTTGGAACAAAACCGTGGCAAACCACTTCCAGAGAACATGGCCGAAAACATGGCCATGAAGACACCAGGATTTGAACTCAACCCAGAGGAGACTTTTCCTTTCAATATGGGAAAGCCCTTCACTTTTCCCTTTTATCCTGGATATGAGGCACCTTCCACCAAAGCCCTCCTAATGATGCTTCTCTTCCCGCAGGCGTCCTCAGCAATGCCGGCCAAGCCATCCAGCACCAGAAGACTGCTCAGGGTTGGGGGCTTTGTGCTTCCTGGGGGAGTGGTCCTCCTTCTCTTCGGGGTCCTTGGTGCCTTTTACTCCTGGAAAGTGGACAGCAAAGAGATAAGTGGCAAAAGAGTGGATCTCCCCTTTGCGTTTGGTTCCAGGGGCCGGCTCTGTGGTTTGGTAGATCGTGGCTTCCACCTTACACAGCCGCTTCAGGGCTTCATGAAAGGTCTGCTAAAGGGTTTGATTGATACGCTGTTGGTCTACTGCTTGGTGGAAAGACAAGCCTGGAATGAGGACCCTACAGTCCTTGGTGCTCTCTGGGCTTGGTTGTTGGCTGGCAGGCATTTTGTTACCCAACTACGTGACATCATGTTACCTAGTCAGGTAATGAAACATCTGCCAGCCAACAGCCAAGCTCAGAGAGCACCAAGGACTCCACAGTTCAACTCTGAGCTACAGAAGGTCTCTTCTGTTGGAATTAACACTTGCCTTGGAGGGGAGGTGTGTGACTTTTGCTGTCACACCACAGCAACCAAACGTTTGGGGCAGGTTACCATTTGCAGCCCCTGATCATGCAGCCAGTATGGTGCAGCAGATGAAGTGTGGAAGACCCAGGTTCAAGTCCACCCACAGCTGTGGAGGCTCCCTGTTGCACTCTCTCAGCCCAGCCTACTTCACAAGATTGTTGTGAGGAAAACTGGGGGAGGCAGTCCTGGTCTTAAGCTTCAGGAGGAAAGACAGAGGATGAGTGTACACATAATATTTCAGACTCTCAAAAGAGCTAAAATGGGCTTTAAAAGCCATTCCTGAAAGAGTGTTGTTGTTTTTTTAAAAACCACAGTGTTGGGGGGGGGGGGGACATCAATTCTTAAGCACTATTCAGCTCTCTTTGGTATCCTTTCTGCAAGCAGCATCCATAAAGCAAAGCTATGAAACCTGATTCAGTTTCCTTTTTTTCCCCCAAAGAAAATTGAATCAAACAGCAATAATTATGGAAGCTGTACTGAAAATTGCTTGCCTTGAATGTATTGCTTGGTGTGCGTGCGTGTGTGTATGTATGCTCTACATTACATAAAAATAAACGTGAAAATGCAAGGGAGGGAGGGAGGCAGGCGGGCTGGCAGGCAGGCAGGCAGGCAGGAGAGATGGAGGGAGGGAGGGAGGGGATATAGGGAAGGAAGGAAGGATAATGACATACCATTAAAAGATATATCTGATAATTGAAAGTAATTTACACCAAAAATAAAAGTTTAGGATGAATGGAGAATTGGGAACATTGTGTTTTGCTATAAATCTCTGTGATTTGACTTCCGAAATGAATGGGGGGGGGGAGGGAGATCTACATTCAAATATGCTTAACTTGATCAAAAGGCATTTCTCCATTGCTGAGTTAAAGGAAGCAGAAACCTACTCTGGCCCCCATTTCCTCTCCCCATGGCCAACCCCTATCCTCTGTTGCTTCTGTCCCGGTCACTGACTTCTCTCCAGGACAGAGGGTGACACAGCCTAACCAATTATAGAGACCTTGATGTTCCCTGGGGTGGCCTCAGAAAAGGGGAAGCATGCCCCTTTCATGCCATTACAGCTAAAGGCAACTTAACCCAGCCTGTCTCATGGCCTGGGCATGAGATGAAAGCAACATCATGGGTTCCCAGAGAAACAGCAGGAGCTTCTGTGATTTATAAGGTGGACCTTACGTTTGGAATATTTCCGTCATGAAAGAAGCATCAAAAATAAGCTGCATTTAGAACAAACCTTCCATTATTCTGTAAGGTTTCATTTACAATTCAATTGACTTCTGATTTCATCTTGGGAATTTGCCAAGCTTTTTCAGCAATTTATTTTTCTTGCACTCCAGCCTGGTCATTTCTGCTTTCCAGATTTTTATTTTATTTTATTTTATTTTATTTGGCTTCAGCTTTATAGAAGGTGTTCCTGGCCATAGAATTAAAACCTATCTTTTCTGGCCATGCTAAATTGAATCCCCCCTGTTTAGAAATCATCTAAATGTCTCCATTTTCATGGACAGAGATGTCTGGATAAAATGATGGAGGAACCAACCAGGTAGGGGATTGGATTCAGTGTAAATCCTGCTTTAGCCCCAATGAAGTTGGTTGAATAAGTCATTACTAAATTGTACTGCTGATTTCAATAAAATGAATGTGTGGCTTATTTCATATGGACCTAAACCATGCACATTTTAAACTTAATTAAATCCTCACAACCTGATATGATATAGATATAGATATAGGATAAACATCTTGTATCATATATCTAACAGCAAAAGAAGAAACATTTGAATACAATCTGATGTACGTGTTTAGGGGTATGTCATTTAAGAATTTAAATTTAAGATATTTTAATCAACTGATCAGTCCACATAATTCATTCAAAGGTAGAGCTCTTTGCAATGCTGTAGATTTGATTCCAAAAAAGTGTTTCTGAGCTTGGCTCCAACTATTTTAATAAACCCCAGACAGACCTGTGTTCACTCTCCCGCCTGCTTCGAAGAGACTCTGACATGGACTACAATCTTCACTGTGGCATAACTGTCACCTTTTCTCAGGTTGAATTGTAAATGAAACCTGACTTACCTTTCAGACTTCTTGGGAGAATAGAAGGGGAGATTGTATTAATATTTCTGAACTCTCTATGAATAAAGATAGATATTCTGATTCATATAGTCTACCTGTGGGGGGGAAAACGATTCCTGGTTATCTGTAGATACACTCCATGGTGTTTCTACTTTATGGAGATAACAGTGATTTACTCCAGAGAAACCTAATGACGTTTGTGGTCTGAGAGTTTTTGCTAGAAAGTTACTTAAGAGTAGAAGTCACAGAACTGTCTTTATGGAAAATGCTAAATCAATTTGGTGTAATGGTTAAGGCACCAGGCTGGAAACCGGGAGACTGTGAGTTCTAGTCCCGTCTTAGGCACGAAGCCAGCTAGGTGACCTTGGGCCAGTCCCTCTCTCCCAGCCCTAGGAAGGAGGAGGCCAGGGCAAACCACTTCTGAAATCTTGCCAAGAAAACTGCAAGGACTTGTCCAGGCAGTCACTAGGAGTCAACACTGACTTGAAGGACACAAACACACGCACACAAAATAAGATCTAGTGTTACAGTGACAAATGGGCATAAGTTCTGAGCTTAGACAGAGACAACAGAGTAAGAAGCTCAGTTCTGTGCAACTGCGTTTTAATAAAAAATATACTCCCAACACTGTTATTTGCTTTAAATCAAAATAATCACCTAAAAGATTTTATTTTGTTTCTAGACCTACAGTGTACATTATACAGTGAGTATTGATGGAAAAATACAAGAAGGATCAATGGAAGTAGATACTGCTAACAATCTGCAGATCTTTAAAACTGGAAGTGGAAGGGAAGAAGCAACTGAAGTTCATGATTTTCAGCTTGTAAGTACAAGTGATTAAGTTCTTTTATCCAGAAAAAAGCACCTTCAACAAAAGTCATCTTAAATGGTTGAAATTTGAAAATTAATCTAAATTGGAACAACCTAAAAAACTTGGGAATGCATTCTTTTAAAAAGGAATAAATAGAGTGAGCTCTGATGTCAGATGAATTCTTCTGATCTTCTGTTTCAGATTCATGCACATGTGCAAAGACAAGATGGTTTTGTCAAAATTATTGGGCCCCATTAATCCCTCTCTTTTTTCCCTTAATATTTTTTCCAGCTCCTTCAATATTGCTTATTCAGCAGTAAGCATTATTGAAATCTGAGAGCCTGTTTTAATTAGTTTCCTAGGTCCTCTGTGGCTGCAATGTCGCTTTGTTAAAGGTTTCCAATATTCTAATCAAATGCTAAAAACATGTATTACAAAACATGTCATAGAGTTCTCTATAATCATTCATGGATATTTCAGCACTGTTTGGTCTGAGAAATCTCATTTCCACCTTCTTTTAGGGCACAGGGACTTAATTAGTAGGGCACACAGGGAAGATCATGGTTTAATGATTTTCCCTCAGGTATTCATGGGGGAGGGGGGGAGTCATTAAGATATTTCCCCGTGTGTCTTTCTACCCACCATGGTTATACAAAATTTGGTCCACTGGGTCAACTTAGGCCCCCATGGAAAGCCTGAGAAAGTTTCATACAGACCATGGTTTGACCCAAGTAGACTAAAGTATTAATTCAAATATTGATATTTATCACTTCCAGCATGAAAATGACCCATCATAGCTCTGGCTCAGTAGAATAAGCTTTGATAAGCCTGATGCAAAAACGTTTTTCTAGAGTTCCTATTAAAAGAATTCGTATCTTAAGCTGCTGTCCATCAAGTAGACATCTCCCTATGCAAGAATGAAACAAATCTCTGATAACTTAGAACAATTCATATTTTCAGCTGAACACATAATTTTGTATGTGACTAATAGCCATTAAAATTTAGCAGAGATCTGTGCTTCTCTTTAATTTTGAAGATCCACATATAGTCGAGAGGGCGAAATTTCAGTGTCTGGTATTAAGTTGTCCTCTATTGAATCTACCCAGTTGCAGATCTCCTTGCAGAAGGACAACAAATGGGAGGATATAGATTTATACAAATAAAGAGAATAAATAAGCTTTGGTAGTTAATGATACTGTGTCCATTTTAGTGACCCCTTATATTGCATATGAGGTGAGTCTATCTCCAATGTTAAGGACAGGTACCAATTTGAGAAGCTCAGATTTGAGAGTGGTGCCACTGTCTCCCAGTGTCATATTGGGATTCCCCTAAATAACTTTGCTAGACTATAATGGTTTGGATTGTAATGATTGACTGATTATTTGCCATCAAGTCAGTGTCAACTCTTCCCAACCATACAGATAGATTTTTTTCCTATGAAAATATGCCCTCAACCTGGCTCTTCAGGTCTTCCAATGGTGCCTTCATTGCTGCTGTAATTGAGTCCATCTACCTCATCCTTTTCACTTTCTTTCCACTTTTCCCAGTATTACGGATTTCTCAAGGGATCTGAGTCTTTGCACAATGTGTCCAAAATATAATAATTTGAGCCTGGTCCTTTGTGCCTCAAGCAAGAACTTTGGATTGAGTTGTTCTAGGGTCCATCTGTTGTCTCCTTGGCTATCTATGGTATTCTCAGGAATTTTCTCCAGCAGTAAAAGCCAACAGTGTCGATAGTGTTTCTATCCTGCTTCCTCGAAGTCCAACTTTCCCTTCCACAGAGAAAGCCATTGCCTGCACAGAAATGTCTGTAGATTCTCCTCCCCTGCCTGCAGGTCCTCTTCTTCCCTGGCCTCCCTTTGGTGTAGGCTTTGGAAAGGATGTCACATAATTTGTCTAGGAATTTGCTTTTTACTCTTTGCAAAGTGCCACGGATATGGGTTGTGTTGTGTAGATAATTACTCCCTGGAAAAGGCTTAAAATCTGGCTTATCAATGGCGACTCCCCAGTCTGGAAGGGAAGGATTACTCAGGATGGATAGAAAAAGAGTCTTCTATCTACCTCTAGGGAACGAAATAAAGCAAAAGGAGATTGTGTATTCAACAAGAGGTAAAACATTATGTTTCACTGAACACCTGCTTTTTGAAAACTTCCTTAAAACCTTATTTCATTTGCCAGTTTTCTTGCCACCCGTGTTGAAAGAGCCTCACTCTGTGTGCCCAGTTTTGTTTTATGTTTGAGGTCACTTACTCTAATAATCAAAATCTTGCTTTCTAGAGCATTGCCGGAACCCATTTTGCTGGAGGAGAAAAATGCTTCATTAAAGCCCAAGCTAAAATTCACATCCCTGAGGTCAGCGCAATGGCAAAAGAGAGCCTCTCTTTTGATCTGGTAAGTAGTCCTCCGAAATATGGTTGAACTTCAAACAAGATACATTAAGCCTAAGAAGAAGAGAAGGTTGTTTGCATGTACCTTGTGGGCAAGAAAGGTAGAGATTGCCTCCTTTTTCCTATAAAATTGGCGTGGAGTAACCCTGAAGGAGCTTTTTCTCTTTGCTTTCCTGATAAACTGTTCTGTTGCTCTATCTGGTGGATCTGGGGCTTTGCAGCAAAAGTTCCTTCCAGGCCAAGCAACAATGCCAAACTGTAGGGACTCGGTGGTCTTTAAAATAACCCCCAGTCCAGAGGTGATGGTGGCTGTTCCCTTGGCTCCGCAGTTATTGCTTGCCAGGTGAACAATGATGCCTGATCCAAGTCTTGCCAAGGACTGATCTTGGCTGATCTCAAGAAGCTAAGTAGGGCCAGACCTTGATTACTACTTAAGTGGGAGATCACCAGGGAATCCCAGAAGGGTTGTTGGAAAGGTATCCTGGAAGAAGTCGATGGCCATGTGGCTGCCAAGAAAATCACGTGGACATGTTCCTGATGTCATTAGCAATTGAGCAAAACTCAAAGGAAACTTAAACATTTCTTAAAAAGCAATCCTTCATCACCCCAAGAGCATCTACAAGTATGAAGTTCAGAGCGTAATTTGTAGAATCTGTATGAGCGTCCATAATAAGCAATCTATTCTAACATGACCACCAAGAAAGATATAAAAGTTCCAGTGTGTTACATGTTTATAGCGAGTTAGTGACTTCATCAGAACAGAATGCTTTTCTTTAAAAGGAGAAGTTGGCTGTGGTAGAGATTTTTGTAGGTGTGCCCAACCAAGCATTATAGCAGATTCACAAGTAAGCCATCCGCACTGATGGGTGCTAATATATAATATATAGCTCGGCTTCCATGAATTTGTCCATCCTTTTTAAATAGGGCTTTCTCTCTGTACTTTGGCAACCAGCTACATTGATTTTGCATTGTGTGAAGAAGTATTTCCCTTTCTCTCCTTGACTCTAACTCCAAACTAGTTAATTAGGTGGCACTCCCCATTTTCTTACAATGCTGCATGAAAGAGGATTAAAAGTTAGGGTCATCAACCACCAGGCGCTCTCAACTAGTAATGCCAAGGAACCAAGTATTGTGGCCTGTCTAGGGCATCATTTTTCCAGGGGGAAAAACACTGAAAAGAAAGAACAAAACCAAACAGAACGAAGGAGAGCTTGAGGCATCTACAGCATATGAGCAAAGAAATGAAATGTGGTGTATTTGTCTCTAACAGAAAATGTGGAGAGTAAGAAAGGACTGAGATTGTAAAAGGCTGCATTGCAGACCATAGAAAAAAAAATAATTGTTGTTTCTTGCCATCCAGAGAGATGGTGAGAGCACCGTTAATGATTCCTTTAGATTATACAGGATAAACATCAGTTAGAAATGCTTTACATTTAACCTCCTCCCCCAGAATTTGTATTACCCTCAAGATTCAGCTTGCAGTGAACAGCTTCCAGTTCCCTGTTAATATGAAGACTCTGATTAAAAGTCTTGTTCAGTAAAAGCAATTATATTGACCAAAAGCTTGACATATGCGTTTAAAAAAAGCTGTCGTTTTGAAGTGCACCCTAAAGGTTTTTCATTCTCATCTTCAAAGCAATGTAGGAAAATAGTACTGATTGAACTAGAAACTTTAAAGAATCCAACTATTATTTTTACACAATAGACTGCTGCTTCTCCATGGCAGCAGAAGCGGAGGGGGGGGAAAATCACTAACATAGTATATGGATCCAAAAGCAAAACTGTGAATGTCCTCTAATAAAGTTTTTGAGATTGTCTTTGCTATCTCCCTGGATCAATTTTATTTGTCCAAGTTGTTTGCAGATTGTAACTGTATTGATTTTGTTACTGGCTGTCTTTTAGCCAAGGAGATTTTTAAAATTTCACATTTTATCCTCTCCTCTGGCTCTTTTGTGCTGTATGCGGAGAAGGACGGGATTTATGGAACCCTTTCAAAATAAAAATAAACTTACTTTAAAAAGAAAGAAAGGCTTGAAAGACAAACTAAATTCCCTTCTGATTTTGGTAAATGGTAGTTTAACTGGAGCATTTTAATTCCATTTTTGTTATAGTGAAGTGTCCATGAGACATTTGTCCTGGATTTTGACTGAGGGGTGGGGGTTATTTTATTATATTTTCTGCCTTTATTCAATGAAACAGAGCAGGAGAAGGGAAAAAACAAACAGCTGGAGAAAAAGAAAAAAAGCAAAACTATCAAAAATATGCCCGGGAGAGATTCTCATGGATGTATATAAAGTTATACACAGTAGTTTCAATAAAGGTTGATCATATTTCATTATAATCATCTGTAGTTTCTGGTTGACAAGTGTCACACTTGACAGTACAGTATTTCATTTCCTCTTTTGCAATCTATTAATGTATTTATTCACCTTGTACACCCCTGGGATACCCTAGGGTTCCTGGAGGTTGGCCATGGTGCACAGGTGAAACGTCTACAGTAGGTAAATAATGAAATCATACCTTTCTCAAAGTAGTACGTGGGGCTTCTAGTCCCAACAAAACAGATGATCAGAGTTTTAACGCTGCACGTTTGAAGTCTGCTGGGTTGTGGAAGCCCAGGGCAATATTAAAACAGTGGCACTGGGCAAGCCATGTTACCCACCTAGTGCATTTCAGCCTTCAAGCTGCGGCAATATATCTGTGCATCAAGTTTCCACTTCCTGCAGAATTATTTTTCCAGAGCAAAGTGGCTGTACCTGCTAGAGCCCAAAACGAAGAAAACTCCTTTCAATATATTTAGGAGTCTCATGGAACTGTTTGGTCTTTGGAGGCCCTTTCCTGTTCATTTTATTATCTACTTACTTGGGTCTCTATGGACTTGAAAGCCTCTGCTTGCTCAACTGAAACTTTTTTTTAATGTAATCTTGTTTGCTTACCCCATTAATTCCAGCATGGTACTGCTAAATAAATTCAGTCAATATTCTTCTGCCTTCTCAGTCCTGCACTACAACTACCATGCATCCTTAGATAGTGTAATGTACAAGAGAAGCTTGAGTTGTTGCATAAAGAGAAAGTAGCTAAATAATACTATTTTTTTTCCATTTTTTCATTTTATTGTTCAACAGTACTGAACACAATGATCATTGTGAAGCAATTGGAGACTTTGTTCAGCATATCTCTCTCTCTCTCTCTGTCTCTCTCTCTCTCACACACACACATGCACACACCTTTGAATCAGTCTTGATTCTTGATGGCTTGCTGGACAAGTCCATGCAATTTTCTTGGCAACGTTTTTGGAAGTGGTTTGCTCTTGCCTCCTTCTTCCTGGGCCAGAGAGTGACTGGTCCAAAATCACCCAATTGGTTTTGTGTCTAAGGCAGGACTAGAACTCATGGTCTCCCCATTTCCAGCCTGATGCCTTTAACCACTACACCTAAATGGCTCTCATGTTAAACCAGTGTTGTCCAAAACTGGCCCCCTTTAAAAGTGAGGGGCTCTGCTTCCCTAAATTCTTCAGCCCACCCACTCTGCGG